GAACATACAATACATCTAGTACATTCAATACATACACAAGTGCACTAATACAATTATGTGAGCCACGTAACGGGGCATGGCATCACCTGTCATGGCTCGTTTTGTATCCAGAATCTCCTTAAATGGAGAGCGTTGAGTTTGTGTATAGATCTATACTGGATTGACTATCCTATACCTTGTTGCTCGCTACAGTGGGACTTACAAGTCTACGGGTGCTAAACGTCATTTCTTCCGACGTCTTGCATCGCCGTGTTTATAGTCGGTAGTATGGTACATGCCGATCACATGGTACTTTAAATAACAATTGGTTTAAGGTAGTTAGTACAGCAGTAGTTACTTAATACAACACTACAGTACTATTTCATTTCCCCATTGCATTCACTTTGTGATCTTCACACAATAAACAATAATGTAAAAACTATATTTTTGGTTAATGATAGTCAGATTTGGGAAAATACATACTCTTTCAAGAGACACACACACGACCACTAGATGCCTTGGTAGAAGGCTACTATTAGTAGGAAACATAGGGTTTTCTAGGAGAGTTCAAACAACTTACAAACATTTTCAAACTTATACAGTACATACTTTCAAACACTTTCATAAAAACACAGACACTAATGTACTTATGATCTCACCAGCTTTAAAGCTGATAAACTCTTTCAAAATAACTTGTATTCTCAGGTTACCAGTAGACAGGTACCGGTGCCAGGTTTTGAGAAGATGGAGCTCGTTCAAGACTCATCTTTTATTTTGATTCATATTTTTGGTGTCTATTAAACTTGACAGAACACACTTGTATTAAATTATATTATTAATGCAATGGATGATGTTGTTGCTTGTTTACTACTATGCACTGTTGTGATACTGTACATGACGTCCTCCACCCCCGAACGATTCCGTCGTTCCGGTTTTGGGGTGTGACAATAATTCAATGAGGGCTTGTACTAATCTCCTTAATCTATTGTAGGAGTAAAATGATTGGGTTTGGTCGATTGTTCAGGTTTTATTGTTGCTTCAGCTCAGGGCCTTATTGATTTTAAAATTGTAGAAACTTCAACACATCCGACTAGATGGAATCAGTTTATTCCATCTAAAGTTAATGTCATTTTTTGGAGGATGGAGTTGAATGAGAATCCAAGTAGGGTGAATATGGATAGGAGAGACATTGATATCAATTCGGTGATGTGCCCCATTTGTAATTCAAATGTTGAAATAATTAATCATCTCTTCTTTTCTTGTAATATGGCGATGGATTTATGGGATCTTCTGTCTAGATCGTGGGAATTGGATATGCTTGTTTTCTCATCTTTTTAAAAGTTATTGTCTTGGATTGATTCTGTTTGTTTACTTGATCAAGAAAAAAAATAGATGTTATTGGGATCTTCTGTCTACAATGTTAATGTATACTTTTTTAACCAAATTTTTTCTAAACAATATAAGAAAAAAGTATATAATATTTATTTTTTATTATACAAAGGAATATAACTTTTATTCATGTCACGTATTGAATTCTTTTTTATTGCGATCGATTCCAACTTAAATACTTAATAAAATTACTTAGCTTAAAAATCTCTAACAATGATACTTAATAAAATTACTTGGGTTAAAAATACAACCGGAGATGCTGACATATATTTGTACGGATCATAATTTTAAGCATATGCATCAATTATTCTCGTCAACTGTTGGAAAAAATTAATAACAATAATGATTACCAGGATATTAGAAAAAAAAATATAGCATAATGGTCATAAAATATAACAAAATCATTGGTGCCATTGACCAAACTTCATAAAATCATCATCGACTATCACGACTAAGAAATGGAAATATATAAAGGACCAAATTGATAATAAGTTTTAAAAAGAGTGGTGAAATAGGTGAAACGAAAGTCATTGGGGGTAAAACTTCAAAACCTAAAATGTTTATGGGCCACTTGTGCAGAAATAAAAAACTAATGAGTGCGGGGAAAGAAACAAATACCGGCGTGGTCGATAACCTAACGCCCGGAAACCCTTCGCAGCCTGCTGTTCACTTTCTCCGACACAGTAATTATGGCGGACGTAGTACAATACAAGCTCGATCGCATGGTCAATGATATCGACGACCTTGAGCGCCATGGCTTGTTCAGTGGAATTGCCGATTTGGTCAACCAACGCCGGAAGTCCCCTGAAGCATGATTACTTAGCGTACGTCGACTACGAGAAATCTCTCGATGCGCTCCTTCTCCTCCGTAAGAAAGGGATTTACCGGAGAGATCTTCAACAACTTTGAACATGTAAGAACATCTCGTACTCCAGTTATTTGAAGCCCTAACGCATCAAATGTCCTTTATTTAAAAAAAAAACCCTTTTTTAACCCTAAAACGTTGGTCTCTCTACCGCTCTACGTCTTACCACAACTGAATCACTTGTTGGTCCTCGATCGATTTCGGCATCGATGATAGTGATTAGCTCAGTAATTTTTTTCTTATCTAAGATCGTTGTATTAACTACGATTAGTTGAGTTTCTTTTGCTTTCTGTAAAGTTTTAATTGTTAGATTTCTGTTTTGCTGAGTAATTTGTTCTGATCTTTGCGAAGTCTGCATAGCTTCAATTCATCACTCACCGGTTCTGATTTTTGTTGATGCTTCATACTTGATCAGTTCCTGAATTATATATCAGTTTCTGATTGTTTCTAAATTCTGAATTCTTGCTGATTGTTTCTGAGATGCACCTGTATGTGGGTTTGATGATGCTGATTCTTTTTAGGGTATTTGTGTATTTTGTAGATGGTTGTAACCATTCATAGCAATTCTTACACCTTGGAGATTTTTTTCAAGCTTGCTTATTTTGGTCTTTTCAGGAATTTGCATCAGCTAGTGATAAAGCTCTGGGGAAAATGTAGAGGTGTTGATAATCATACCATGTTTACAAAATATTAATCAATCTTAATCATCTTTTGCACATGATGTTGATGGGGTCGCTAGTTTATGTTGATGGTACCTTTTGAAAATGATGCAGTTTCTCCACCCCAAATTTGTTTTTTTGTACATTTTTGTTACATATAATGTTGTGAAACATGTTTTTTTTAATGCATTTAGCTCATAATTTTTTGGTTAAATGCAAGGATGTAAGGAGAATCGATCATATGTCTGCTCCAACTATCTGTGAAAGATCAGCTTCTAATTCCTATTACAATATTGAAATAAAGGATGCATATATTCCTCCATGGATAATTAGTTGTAATTAAGTTTAATGGAGATACCATGTGCTCAAAAGTCCCTTATGTTACCAACGTAGTCATGAAATATATACACTAGTTCTAGTAATGTTTTTGAAAAGAAAATATGAGCAAGTTTCAAGATCATTGAACCATATTTATTGGAAGGTAATATGAGGATTGATGTAAATCTATTCAAACATTATCATTGAAATAATTGAGTAGTTTTTAATTTATAGCAATTACATCAACCTAGTCACTATCGTCTTTTCTTGTATTTTCCTTATTACTGACAAACTTTCTTGGTCTCTAACAATACATATTTAGGGACCACTTTTTTGGTCACTATAGTCATTATTAGGGTAACAAAAACCAGAGACATTTTTGTGGTCGCTAAAAGATTTTGGTCACTAATTGAATAAATAGTGACAACTTTCATTGATTAGTAACTACATCTAGTGACAAAAAGGGTTGTCACCAATATAGTGACCAATATATTTTAGTCATTATTTAGTGACGATGTATATATTCTGAACTCTATAGTGATGAAAATTGACAACCAAAATTTTGGTCACTAAGTTGTTTAGTGCCTAGGTTATTTTCGTCACTAATTAGCATGCTTTTGGTAGTGTAATAATATTAGAAGTATGACGTAGAGTAGAAGGAGTGTTTTTAAACCTAAAAATCTCATTCTAACTAGTTATTTTTATATGAGGAAAAAATTTATTTTAAATATAAATTTAATTTTTAATTATATATCTAAATATCTTTTTTTTTTCTTTTCTTTTTTTACTTATAATTTCTGTCTGGAGTACCGGAAAGTTTTTACAGGCGGTTTTATATGGGTGCCCGTAGTGGCACCGGCAACACCTGATTTGTCGGTATGTAGTGCAAAATTTTTTGATTTTTTTATTATTATTATCGTGTCACTACCTAGCATATCATAGAAAAGCTTTTTTTTTTATCTAGTCTAGCTTATCAAATACAACATTAATTAAATTGGTTACTAATAAAATATTGTGTACTCTGAACCTTCAATAACCTAGCTATGGTTATAATTTCATATAAAATACTAGTTTGATACATCAATTATTAGATATAAGGAAAATTTGTTTCACAAAAACTCTAAAAAACAAAAGCCATATATCATTGTTTGTCACATGCATCAACAATGTACGATACAAAAATGATAAATCCTTTCTTACACATACAGGTACTTCTGACTTAATATTTTTGGAACCACAAGTCCCACTAACCTTAAAACTTATAAGATTCTAATTAGAGATCTAATTCATCACCACTACTTAAGATACTCATAATACGAGGATAAAACTTGACAAATCTGTCTCTCGGCGCCTCTGTCCCTTAAATTTTGTTATACATGTCATCTAGTGATTAGATGTGCCGGATCAATGGCGTTTATTTATGTGATAAGATTACCAAACGCAATTCGATTCCAAGTGATAATGATACCTCTATCTATCTATCTATCCAAATTACTTTTACCTTCGACTTCTAGAGCTAACTAGTTGTTGAATTCTTGTTTCTGAATCTAAAGATAGTATCCAACATGCTTTGGTAACCTTATACTGCGTGAAAGAGCAAAACTTTTGATCACTCAGCCTTCGCCACTGGTCTATCTATCATTGGAGAATCGTCAATATTTAAAATCGATCACATCATAAAGGGAATATGTTTGTGTGGGATGTACTTGTGGTGCCACACACTATGTTCTCCAACTCAAAAATGAAAAATAAAAACCCTATAAATACCAACACTACTTCCATGCAAACCACTACAAGAACCAACAGGCTTTAAAGAAACACAACAAACTAAACCCAAATTCCAATTTTCGTATGATGCCTAGGGAGAGGGACCCGTTGGTGGTTGGACGTGTGATAGGAGATGTTCTCGACAGTTTCACAAAGTCGATTAACCTTTCTGTATCATACAACGATAGAGAAGTTAACAATGGATGCGAGCTAAAACCCTCTCAAGTGGTAAATCAGCCTAGGGTTGATATTGGAGGTGACGACCTTCGGGCTTTTCACACTTTAGTACGTTTAGTTTCTATTCATTCTTAATCCTCCTTACTTCTTTCACTTTTTCTTTCTTCCAAATTCGCTCTTCTGAACTATAATTAAACTATTTCAGTTACATTATTAATGTTTTAGGTGATGGTGGATCCTGATGCTCCAAGTCCTAGTGACCCTAACCTTAGGGAATACTTGCATTGGTAAGCTTCTTGTATAAAAAGACATTTATTTTCTGTGAAGCAAAAAAAAGGAAATCTCATTTATGTTTTGGAAACCATTTTAGCAAATTTTGCAACAAAGAATAAGTTTTTCAAAATGTGACAACATAGTGATAGACAATGGATTGCTCGGGTTAAACCGAAGTAATAATTTCTTTGATTTTGTCGGCCTAATCAAAATTATAAAGGGCTTGGATCTAAACCCTAATTCTTATAAAAATGAAAGAAATTATAACCACGATAACCAACATTAAAGAGAATAAAAAGTTTAGGAGCATATAAGTGGCTTTCATGTCTTTAATTATCTGGATGCCACATAAACAAAAAAGCAAGCTCAGATAGTTCTCACTTCATTATTAAACTCAATGGTCAACCATCATTTATCACTATTACTTTCTAGCTTTTTTTTGATACCATGGTATCTCCGAAAACAACATATATTTGTTTTTATTGTCAAAGTCGAATCTCAGATATTGTTTTCTACTTCATATTTTATGTTGTTTCTGATTGGTCTACTCGTTTGCTTTTTGTAATACTTTATTCTCTGCATGTAAACCACATAGGTTGGTGACCGATATACCAGCGACCACGGGAGCACGTTTTGGTGAGTGTTTTGTTTTTTTATTTCACATCCAACAATTCATATTGTTCGTTGCTGCACTAGTTCTGAAATCATTTATTGCGGCTAATTGCACAAATATTAGACAAAAAATCGCATAAATAAAACTGTATTGTGGTCCACGAACTCAATCCTTCCATGATTTTATGTTGATCGCTACTTCGTTTTTTTTTCTTAATAAGTATGGTAAAAAGGTGAGTAAAGGAAGAGGTGATTTCGCTAATTTACATAACAATCCTCAAAGGTAGGGTAGTTTTGTTTTTCATAAGAATCCAAATTTTATTTTGAGCATACGTATTCTTGCAAACAAGGGTACTATAAAATATTACTTTTCTATTTATTATTATTATTATAGTATTTATTATGAATCAATGCCACTGTCGTCTGTGCAACTAAAGTGACTCAAGAATCTTTTCTGCCCAAAAGCAAAACAAAAAGATATCCAAACAGACACCTAATCAGTGTCTAAATGATGTCAAATCGTAATTTTGAGAGTAAAGCATGTATGAATGTTTATTCTCGTAATAAGTGATTCCTTAAGGGTCAATCTCCTACAAATTCGTATCTAGTGTGCTATAAACTTTAATTAATGTGATTAGATTCCCGGATCAAATGCCGAAAGCAACACCTTAAGTTCTTGTATTTTTGTTTGGGAAAATTGTCAGAAAAGACCTAATATTTACGGAAAATTTACACATTAGTCCCAAGATTTTTTTTTTAAACGAAAAAGTCCTGAAAACCGGCAAAAATTTACAGTTTGACTCTTTTTGACCGGTTGAAACCGGTACCAAATTAATTTGGGACTATTTTGTAAACTAACCCAAAATATTGAGACTTTTCTATAAACAAAAATATTATGACTTTTCTGTAAACATCTACATAGATAGGTAGCTCATATCAAAATTCAAAAGTATTAATTACAATATCTTGTTTAATAAAAAAATAATAGGACATGTTTTTTGGATTAATACTTTTGAATTTTGATTAATACTTTTGAATTATTCCTTTTACTTTTATTAAACAAGATATTGTAATTAATACTTTTGAATTTTGATATGGGCTACCTATGTAGATGTTTGTGGTGAATCTGTTCGATTTGGAAAATAATATTCTACCTTAAACAATTTTATATACAAAGTGAGAAATTCTTCTACCTTAAACTATTTATTAACAATTTTACAAATATGTAAGTTCTTTTAAATTGTTAAAATATTAATATTCTGAATTGAAAACAATAATAACAAATGTGAAATGACATATACAAAGTAAAAATATACAAGCAGGAATTTATGATTTCAATGCTAAAAGCATCACCATCTCCTCCACCTTCACCCTTAAATAATGTCATTATTTTTTTCATTTAAATTCATTTATATGTTTTATTAGCAATATTAATAATACAAGTTCAAAAAATAGTATTCTTATTTATATTTTTAATAATAATAATAATAATAATAATAATAATAATAATAACAACAACAACAACGATAACAACAACAACAACAACAACAATAATAATAATAGTAATAGTAATAATAATAATAATAATAATAATAATAATAATAATAATAATAATAATAATAATAATAATAAGGGTTTTGTTTGCAGAAAAGTCCTAATACTTTTGTTTTCAGAAAAGTCCTAATATTTTTGTTTATAGAAAAATCATAATATTTTGGGTTAATTTACGAAATAGTCCCAAATTAACTTGGTACCGGTTTCAACCGGTCAAAAAGGGTTAAACTGCAAATTTATGTTGGTTTTCAGGACTTTTTCGTTCAAAAAAAATCTTGGGACTAAAGTGTAACTTTTTCGAAAATATTGAGACTTTTCTGGAGATTTCCCTTTTGTTCGTTATCTTTTTTGATTGTTATATTTGTAATGTAGGGTTTAATTTCATTATTATAAATTTTTTTAGGCCAAGAAATTGTGTGCTATGAGAGTCCAAGGCCGTCAATGGGAATTCATCGCATGGTTTTTGTGTTGTTCCGACAGTTGGGTCGACAAACTGTGTATGCCCCTGGATGGCGTCAGAACTTCAATACTAAAGACTTTGCGGAGCTTTACAACCTTGGTTCTCCGGTGGCAGCAGTCTACTTCAACTGCCAACGTGAAAGTGGGTTTGGTGGGCGAAGAAGATAAGATAAAAGCATGTTGATGGCATGCAATGCCGTTATAAATGCATACGGATGGCTTGCACACCATATTATCACGAGTCTTTCTATATGATATATGTTATATGTTATATATCAAAAGAATGTATCTAGGAACGATAGTTATAAAGGAATAAGAAACCTACGGGTGAAGTGCGCAGTTGTAAGACGTAATAGAAATAGAAACGATAGCAAAATGATGAGTTGGAATGAAATAAATATAAGTCATTTTCATTATTGTTTACTAAATACTAAGTATTTTGGATTACATAGCTCGAAAAAATGGAATGGCTCGGATACCTAAGGCCAAAAAAATGTTAAACACACAACTAAAGTTGCTTAATTCACATATTTCGAGTTAAATTTTGAATTTATTATGTTGGCGTGCGTGATTAATAAGCAAATATCAAACATCTAAATGTTTGCTTTTATGGTCTATTTCGTATTTTTTTTTTAACATATTTTCGTTATGATCACAGGTTGAAGTCTTGATGCAGATTCCATCCTTGGTCGGCTTGTTTGTGTAATAAAGGGAGATTAAATAACCAAAGGTGCGCAAAAGACGATCGGAAGGAAATCAAAGCAGTTAGCTTTGAGTTCGGTTCGTGTTGCGGGTGATAAAAGACGATAAAGGTGGTTGTTACCTTATTTTCTTGATCAGTGAAAGAATCTTTCGAAATTGGCAACGTTATGACTATCAAGACACGAGTGAATCAAGAAACAACATTGTGTGAACATTCTGGCGGTGGAAGTTCAAATCGGGTGGCTTTGGATGTGGCTAAGGAAGAGGTCGTGGATCCGAAAAAAGTCGATATGGTAACGAAGATGTCGAATAGGATGTCATGTAACATGTTATGGGTGTTGTAAACAATCAAAAGGTGTTGAGAGAAGACTTTGGATGTGACTGTGATGGAGGTCGGGTGTCAAGGAAAAGTCGAGAATCAAGATGGTTCAAAAAGAAAAAATGAAGAAGTTCCTAGGAATGAAGGTGTGCGAGATTCTGAATTTGGAGGGAAAATGTTGGATAACTCAAAATCTTGTGACGAATTTTATACCTAGAGTATTTTGAGAATTATTTCATTTTAAAGGTTTTTGAGTTATTTAGGAGTCTAATTTGTTTAGTATATATAGGGGTTAATTATAGGTATTTTAATTCACTTTTCCATTCTTATTTCCTAGTAAAGCTTGGGGAACAAGTATTTTTTCCCAGATGAACTTGATCCCATGTTCTTCTTTTATTCTTTTTGTTTTATGCCCTGTTTCTTTTTAGTATTCTTCTTTACCTATACCTTGGTGATCAAGGACTATTATCCAAGTTTTACTTACATTTGATGCTAGAGAAACAACACGATGTGAACATTATGTCGGTGGAAGTTCAAATCGAGTGGCTTTGGATGTGGCGGAGGATATCGTAGATCTAGGAAAAGTATAGATGGTAATGAACGTGTCTAACGGGATGCCATATTACATGTAACAGGTGTTATGAACAGTCATAAGGGGTTGAGAGAAGACTTTGGATGTGACTGAGGTGGAGGTTAGGTGTCCAGGAAAGGTCGAGAATCGAGATGGTTCAAAAAGAAGGTGAGCAAACCCTATTGTAAGTGAAAGGTTTGAATAAACGAATAATGGGGTGATTGTTGGATCCTTTCTAAATTAAGGAGGAGAATGTTAGATTAATTCAAAAATATGGGACAGTTTTAGCCCAAAGGCACTTTTGGAAAGTTGCATTTTAGATAGTTTTTATATTAGAAAAGGATACCAACACATCTAGTATAAATAGCGTATATGTTTAATGTTTTTATTCATTCAGTTTTGTATTTTAATAAGAATTTACATGCAACCTAAGGAAAATTCCCATGTTTCTTTTATTCCATTGTTTTCTTTTTTCTTCCTTGTTTATAACAGGGGATTCATCAAAGTTGAATCGAACAATTTCGTCTTTTGTTTTTCCTAGACTTACGCAAGTGACCTTCTTGGATGATTTTCATATTTTCTGGATTAGAATCTTACTAAAATTTGCATTAATCACTAAAATGTAAATAAAATATCACACATGACCATGTTTTTTCTTTTTCTATTACAAAATAGCCATCAAAACTGAGATAAGAAAGGTAGCTTTTTTTGAAACAATAATTGGCTGAGAAATAGAAATCTCAACAATAGAATGCACGATCTAATGATTAATGACAAGTTGATAAGTGATCCTAAGAAAATCAAAACATCGGTTCACAATTTCTTTTAATCTAAATTTGATGATAAACGGTGTGTTACACCGAAATTGGTGAACCACCTATTCAGATCGTTGTCTCCATGTCAAATTCAATATCTTGATGCACCGATCTCAATTAACGAGATAATAATGGCTATATGGAATTGTGGAAGTGAAAAGTCCTTGGGGTTCGACTATTTCATCTTCAAATTATTAAAGTGTAAATGGGAGATTATCATAGAGGATGTGATGAATTTTGTCAGAAACTTTGAGAGCTCTGACATGTTCTCCTTGGGACGCAACCCATCCTTTATTACCTTAGTCCCAAAAATCAAAGAGTCGATTACACTTACTAACTATTGACATATTAGTCTTATCAATTGCATTTACAAAATTATTGCAAAGACACTAGCCTCTAAACTTAAAAAATGTAATCAGAATGGTAATCGATGAGGTTCAATCGCATATGTTGAGGCTAGAAATATCTTAAGGGACGCTTTATAATCCACAAATTATGTTCTTGCTAAAAAAATCTAAGAAAGATGTTTCTTTTAAATTTGATTTTGAGAAGGCGTTTGACTCTTTAATTGTGGTTATCTCAACTCTGTTTTAGATCAAATCGGCTTCGAGGAGAGGTGGCATGCATGGATAAGCAACTATCTTTCTTCTTCTCATGCATCGATACTTGTAAGTTTTTCCCTACCAAAGAGTTTTTGGTTTATTGCAACATTAGACAAGGTGGCCCATTATCACCATTTTTATTTATAATTTCAATAAAAGGACTTAACGTGGTTATGAAAAGTACTTGCAACAAATCTTTGTTTCATGGAATCATGATCACCAAAATATCCCTGTCATATCTCATATATTCTTTGCGGATGATGCAATCTTTATATGCGGATATGATTATATTAACATTCAGAACCTTGCCCGAATTCTTAAGTGCTTACACACTTCCTCTGGCCTTAAAGTAAATTTGCAACAAAGTTTTGAGTCATTAAGTACTTAATGGAGTCTAACCACATTAGGACCACCACAGGACCATCATATCACCAAAAATCTGTCGAGGCTGATGTGAACCTATATTTCCAGCCATGTTTTTAGTCACTAAGTGATTAATTGGGTTTGCTTGAAGACCAAACCCTTAAAACTATTCTTATAAGCTTAATGTGAAGAAAGGTGATGTGTTTGAGTTAAATTGTCAAGTTCTTAGTCCATTAGACCATTTATTGTTTGGTATTGAAAATACTTGGTTAAGATTACATTTCACTATTTTGGTTGTTTATTAACATAACTATTAAGGACTTAATGAGTTGAGTGAAATGTAAGATCAAACTTAATGGTTTCTCAAAACTCTGATACTGTTCACTAGCTTTGAAAAATCATAATAAATCATTCGATGATCCAATTTGCATGAACATATGTCCCTGGAAAGATATGGACATCTCATTCCAGCCAAATGTAGGGCTTGATCTAACTCCATCTACAAATGTAGGGGCATTGCTTCAAGTGCATGTAGGTCCAAAAATTTCACTAACCATTTTAGCAAAATTTGCAACATAGAATAAGTTTTTCAAAATGTGACAACATAGTGATAGATAATGGATTGCTCGGGTTAAAACGAAGTAATAATTTCTTTGATTTTGTCGGCTTAACCAAAATTATAAAGGGTTTGGATCTAAACCCTAATTCTTGACAAAATGAAAGAAATTATAACCACGATAACCAACATTAAAGAGAATAAAAAGTCTAGGAGCATATAAGTGGCTTTCATGGCTTTAATTATCTGGCTACCACATAAACAAAAAAGCAAGCTCAGATATACTAGGTTCTCACTTTATTATTAAACTCAATGGTCAACCATCATTTATCACTATTACTTTCTAGCTTTATTTTGATACCATGGTACCTCCGAAAACAACATATATTTGTTTTTATTGTCAAAGTCGAATCTCAGATACTGTTTTCTACTTCATATTTTATGTTGTTTCTGATTGGTCTACTCGTTTGCTTTTTGTAATACTTCATTCTCTGCATGTAAACCACATAGGTTGGTGACCGATATACCAGCGACCACGGGAGCACGTTTTGGTGAGTGTTTTGTTTTTTTATTTCACATCCAACAATTCATATTGTTCGTTGCTCCACTAGTTCTGAAATCATTTATTGCGGCTAATTGCACAAAAATTGGACAAAAAATCGCGTAAATAAAACTATATTGTGGTCCACGAACTCAATCCTTCCATGATTTTATGTTGATCGCTACTTCGCTTTTTTTCTTAATAAGTATGGTAAAAAGGTGAGCAAAGGAAGAGGTGATTTCGCTAATTTACATAACAATCCTCAAAGGTAGGGTAGTTTTGTTTTTCATAAGAATCTAAATTTTATTTTGAGCATCGTATTCTTGCAAACAAGGGTACTATAAAATATTACTGTTCTATTTTTTATTATTATTATAGTATTTATTATGAATCAATGTCATTGTCGTCGTCTGTACAACTAAAGTGAAATCTATAAGCGATATGCACTCGAAAGGATAGGAATTTCATAAAGATTCACTCTTTTAAGTCACCCAAGAATCTTTTTTGCCCAAAGCAAAACAAAAAGATATCCAAACAGACACCTAATCAGTGTCTAAATGATGTCAAATCTTATTTTTGAGAGTAAAGCATGTATGAATGTTTATTCTCAATAAGCGATTCCTTAGAACATGTTGAAAGCCATAACAAGATGGGATAAGGGTCAATCTCCTACAAATTCGTCTCTACTGTGCTATAAACTTTAATTAATGTGATTAGATTCCCGGATCAAATGCCGAAAGCAACACCTTAAGTTCATGTATTTTTGTTTGTTATCTTTCTTTATTGTTATTTTTGTAATGTAGGGTTTAATTTCATTCTTATAAATTTTTTTAGGCCAAGAAATTGTGTGCTATGAGAGTCCAAGGCCGTCAATGGGAATTCATCGCATGGTTTTTGTGTTGTTCCGACAGT